ATTTCACACAGCTAAAGCGCTGTTTTTGTGCATAGGGTACACGTTAACTCTGCTACAGCGTATCTCAAATACTTGTTTCTGAGACTAATACACGATATGCTTTTAAGCGCAGCGGCGGGTTAGGGGCACACCCCGGCTATGGGATATACACGATAACATTTGTATGAACTATAATATGCATGCCCATCATGCCGATAAGAATTATCGTGTCTAGGGATTCGGTAAATGGGGGGAACCAAAAGGCTTCGCTCTTGGGGGGGGGGGGGGTTAACTGCAACATATCCTGCAATATTTGACGGATTTAGTACATTTAGAACTGTTCATAACATTGCTTAGGAATGTTTTAACCGACGCCGCACGTGGTCTAGAGATGCGCAAGGCTGATTCACCGCAGTTGTCTTAACCCTTTTGCGAGCCACTTTAGCTTTAGTAAACTATAGTATACAAATCTAGGATAGTTAGTATCAAAAGGAGGCGTTATGCCTCGAGTGATGGACCACCTTCAAATCTGTTAAGTGTGATTTGCGTGGCTTTTCTATGCCCATAACGACCTGTCGTAAACGTACTTAATTATAAAATGAGGCAAAATGCCTCCTTTAACGTGGATACATCGTCGTGCTTAGTTGAAAACCAGAAAAAAGTGGCATTCTGCTTCCTTTTATCGCGAAATGGTTATTGTGGAAACCACGATGTCCAATTTATTTGCTAATCGACTGATTTAAAGCACTAACAAGGCAGATTACATATATATATGAACAGGAAGTTATTTTTAGTGACCAGTTATCTAAATTAGTGTTCGTTTTAGCCAGCATCCATACAGAAGCTACAACAACGAACGCATCCTCCGCGGAAAGCTTCGGCGCGACAAACACCATTCCCCAAAATTCGTCGGACTTAGGGATCACTATTTGGTATAGCGTTGGACACAATGTCTGCTATTTTCTGAATAACCTACTTCGTTTTTCTGTGTGAACGCGTGTCACCGACAGCAAAGCGCAATTTGCACAGAAGACAGCAGACAAGTGTCCGACAGCAATGGTGGACTGTGATTGGGGAAAACTGAAAGAGAAAATCCGTGGCATTCGCGAGAATACCATCAGTGCGCGCTCTCGCACCACCTACCAGAACTCGTACTGCCGCTTCCTTGCCTGGGTGGTCCAGAATAAGTCAGAACTCGTGTCGGCACAGTTTGCTGAGAGGCTTGGCGATACGTCCGACTGCTCCCTCCACCAACTGCGATCTCGCGTAAAAGAGAAGTTGTGTCCCCAAAGTAGCATCATTCCTCTCGAATTTGAGGCTCTTACTGCTGAAGACTTTGTTACCTGGCTCGTGACACTGACACGGAAGGACGGATCGGGGCTGAGCTATTCTGCTCTGAACACACATAGAGCAAGTCTGTTCAATTTGTATCGTGACTACGGCTGCACGATGTCCAAGGTATTAGAGTCGGAGCTGACTACGTATTTCAAGGGTCTGAA